CTGTCATAGGTATATAATTACTATCATAGATAAGTAAATAAATAATACCGTCGCTTCAAACAGCTTTGCTCCAAAATGCGGCCAAACTCTCAGCGCCTTTACCACAGCCGTGGCGCATTCGAAAGGTGATAATAATTGGTAACCGCACCACTTTTTCAAGACTTGTTGCCTGAAATTATAGCAATTTACTTATTGAATATCGTACTTTTACAATCCAGAGACTTATTTTCACTATTACATTGTAACGCTCAAATACAAAAACCAGAAACTTCATATTTAAAAATATTTTAAAACTTTTCTTGCATTGTGGCTGAAATGTTATGTACTGTCACAGTCCCTTGTGGGATAAAGCAGCAGAGTTAGACGACCAAGGTCATGAAACAACGATGGAATGGTAAACAGGCAAAGTTAGGTCTGCCAAATAAAGATATTTGATCAACCTGGATTTCCCAATTCCTAAAATTTGAAAGCCTTGAAGCACATTGGCACGCTGCATAGACGCTGTTTGCACGTACTCCACGAGTGGAAAGTCAAAGAGGCATTAGCTCGTGACTGTGGTGCATCACGTCAGAAAAGTCTGTGCACTGTCATGGAGTGCACAAACCGGTCCTTCACAGGAAAAATCCATTTTCTCCATTCGGTAACGCCTAAAGTCACGAAATGAACATTCATAGCAATCTAATCCAAACCAACCTGCCACTGATGCTTTACATACGCCCATACGAAAATAGAAGAATAAGTGTAATTCTTAGAAGAACAGTGATGGAAATTCATGAACAGTCAAGTGTTGCATTTCAGATATTGTTACTGCGCTGCGAACCGTCATAAGAGCCATTGAGTCTTTCGCTCTTATTGAAAATAGCTTTCACATAATACTCATTGAAGTACTAAACATTAAAAAAGAGGAAGGACTTGCATGATTGGACAAAAAATACGTTTTCAAGATTTAGTAGAATACATGGGAAAGTACAGACTAAGATGTTACAGTAATCTTCCACAAAGTTAGATTTTCTACTTACTTGAGCACGTTTTTACATGAAACAGCCACCACCTTGTCTGAAATCGATTGGTTGATGACGTCTTCAATGCGACTGTCGTTTACACCCTTGCAAGGTCCGAAATGCATCTGTGCCAATAAAGCACATGTTTCGATGGCCAGATCTACCGATATGGGTATATGGCCAGTTTTCATATCTTCCGCCATTTGATAGGCGAGGTAAATGCGCTCCTGTTCGGTTTCGCCCTGAATATCATAACCCCAGTAATACCTAAACGAGAAATTTTGATACAATATTATTGATTATTCGTTCCTTATATAATCATAATTTAATTTTTTAAGTATCCTTCAAGATTATTCATGGCACGGGCATGTTTCAATCATTTTTGTATATCTGTTACCTCATACTTTGATTATGCAATGGTAGTAGCCTTGGTGTTCTATTAGGCAAGCTGAAGAAGATATCATGCAGAAGTTCAAGACAGCTTTGAGTTGTCTATTTTCATATAAAAACAAAAACAACAGGGTTTGCACCATGTCCTGACTATCACACTGGGTAGTCAGTTAACAAACAGGTAAAGACGAATGGCAGCACTAAGAAAGGTTTTAATCTGACAGCATGGCAGTACCTTATGCCGCCTTTCACTCATTATCGAATGACACCAAAGGAGCACCGTACCTTAAAAGCTGCTCGCAAGTTCGCAAAACTTGTAACCTTTGCGCCTAAGTAACATGGGTTGAATTTCTCGCTTCAGGGAACTAACCACCATGAGAATTGCTTTCTATACTAGACCCTACCCGAAACATAAATTGGAGATTTACCCTTTGCCGCTCCA